TTCAAAGTCGGGACGACGTGAGAGTGCATCAGCGACGACATTAAGTCGTCCTGGTTTGTACTCTACCGTAAAGTTGTATTCTGCAAAGAATGACAACCACCGCGCCATTCGTTGAGAAAGGTGCGGCCTGTTCACTGCCGTGCGTAATGACGCATGGTCAGTGTAAACAATGAAGGGTCTATCTCCTAATATATAGACTCTGAACTTCGCGAGTGCATACTTCATGGCAAGGCGTTCCTTGTCATGCACTGGATAGTTCCGCTCAGCTGGTTGTAGCTGACGCGACTGATAGCAGACGACGCGTTCAACCTTTAAGATCGTACTGCATTAATGCACAGCCGATTGCGAAATCGCTGGCATCACAGACCACATGAAATGGCCTGTCCTGATCGGCTATTGCTAGGACTGGGGATTGTATCAAGCTCTGCTTGATACCATCAAAGGAGCGCTGACATTCAGCGTTCCATAACCACCTCTCGTTCTTTTTCAACAAACGAGAGAGGTGCACAGTCATCTCGGCGTAATTGCGTGGATACTTATGCAAATACGCCGCTAGCCCAAGGAATTTTCGAAGCCCTTTGACGTCAACCGGCACAAGCCAGTCGGTGATCGCCTTGATCTTTTCAGGGTCAGGACGTACACCGTTCTTACCAACGATGCACCCAAGAAGTGGTATTTTGCTTGCGGCAAATATACACTTCTTGAGGTTTGCATACAATTGATGCTTTCGCATGATTGTAAGAACCTGTCGGACGTGGTACCTGTGAACCTCAACATCCGACTTTCCATCCATAGCTCGACTATGGATGAATACGTCATCGAAATAACTCGGCGCGAATTCTCGTACTGGTCTCAACAGATGTGATACACATCTGTTGAACGTGGCAGGGGCATTACTAAGCCCTTGTGGCATTACTAGCCATTCCCAGAGCATTCCGCTAGGCGTGCTAACTGCGGTATAGGGTATATCCCGTTCCCGCATAAGGATTTGATAGAAGCCATCCATCAAATCCATGGACGAAAAGATGGTACTCTTTGACATACCATCAATGATTACGTCCTTCCTCGGTATCGGCGTCTGAGCCGGTACCGTTGCAGCGTTCAATTTGTTGAACGCGTGCACTATCCGCCACCCTCCTGTTGCTTTTCGCACACAGAAGGTCGGAGAGCTATGTGGGGAAGTTGATTCCCTCACATGGCCCGCAGCTAAACGATCGGCAAAGAACTTGTCGATCGCAAGTACTTGTTCACGAGGCAGTGGCCACTGCTTCATGACACAGTACTTCGAGACTGGTTTAAGCTCGACCTCGTGTCGAATACCTTTATCCTTCGGTAATTCGCACGGAACAGTTTCAGGGAATACATCCTTGAATTCAACCAAATCTTCATAGAGAGGATTTTTCTTGAGCGATTCCCACGATTGGGAGTCATATCGCTCAATTCGTGTCTTTTCATCTAGGACATTCTCGTCCATAGATGAACTACTGAGAACTCTTTCGTTCTCAGTAAACACTGTTGCTGACCTTATGTCGGCTACACACTCGTCGTCAGCGACGAGTACGCAGATCTGCTTGACTTTGCCACTACGCAGATCACGCAAGAACCTTTTATGTTCGAGCGTTGGCAACTGAGTGATCTCCGAAGTTAACTTCGGAGGCGCAATCAGATCAAGTGTATAAGCGCCTGCACTTGATCCGTTATTGACTATGACATTCAATGTCTCTGTCATTTCCTGGGGACTTATTCCCTCAGGCCTCGAAGTACTTATTCCTTCGGCTTCCCGGGGACTTATTCCCGCGGGTTTCGGGGAACTTATTTCCGCCGTATTTGTAATCTTGGGACTTATTCCCTTAACTTCCTCTAGCTGTAGTTGCGCAACCACAGCGAGATCCTCTACGCAAGACTCTCAGTCAATCTAGGATTATCGTTTCGCTTAACCTGAGCGATCGATTGTTTCTCTTCTAGATGTTCCCCGCTAGGGATACATCTTTGTCCCGGTCCACCCGACTTATTCGAGTGGTGGACCTTCGGCGCAGCCTGTGTTTCCTCACAGCCGCCGGAACTTTGCTCCGAAGTGTAACCGTTTGGTACACTAAGGTTTTGTGCAGTCGTACTAACGACCGTACCACAAGTGAGGCCATCGCACTCACTCGTAGTACATCCACACGCTTGTGGACGCTCCAAAACGTTCATCAGATGGCCATCTGATGAACAAGCGGCAGGCATCGTTACTGTTCGATGTTGCCAGTTAACCCGTGGTTCGTACCTTCTGAGCCACGGTATTCCAAGGATGACATCAAATTTGTCATCCAAATCCAATACGATAAAGTCATCGTCATATTGGGTATCTTCTAGCGTATAGTGGATCTTCACTATACGCTTCATGACGGTTACGGATGCGCCTGTCGCAAGACGTACCGTCATCCTCGTAGGAGGTGTGTCACATTCACTGAACTTGAAGTGACCATCTTCTAGCGATTGGCGTCGCACAAAATTGTTGGACGCCCCACAATCGACTAGAGCTCGAAGGGACAACTTATTCGTCACTTCGAGTTTCAAGATAATGAGTGAGACCTCATTACCTAGAGCAGCAACGCACAACGTTTGTGTGTTGGGAGCAACCTTCATCAAGAGGCCTACAAATTCTCTTGACGTTGCTAGACCAGTAGGGTGCTCCGCACCTACTGATCCTGTCCGTTTTTTGACGGTCCATCCCGTTGTTGCGTCTTTGCACCAACTGCGGACCTGTGCCCCAGACCCCTTCTCATGGGTGGACGGTCACTACGCCCAGTGTTGCGAGACACTGGACGAGGGGCACTACACTCGTAAGCGTAGTGTCCTATCTTTTGACATCTGTTGCATCTCTGCAACTTCTTGTAGCCTGTAGAGCGAGCCTTCTCGCTCTCTACATAATAGAGTTCCATCGGCTCTGGACCTCCGTTGTCATATCGTCTCGGTTGACGATATGATGTCGAGCTGGCGCGAGCCTGTCTCAGACTGAAGTCTTCCTGTTCCGCAATGGAAATGGCTTGTTCTAGTGAATCTAGTTCAAGTCGGAACAGGTGAGCCTTGACGGGACCATCCGCAAGACCCTGCATGAACACCGAAACCAACGTGTGTTGATCCACCGGATTGGAACTTATACAACTCGTAAGATGTCGTATATGTTGCGCGTAAGCGTGCACACCACGCTTACCCTGCTTGAGCTTCAAGAGTTCGGTTCGAGCTCTGAACTCAGCTCTAGGCGGTTCAAACGTTTGTCTGAGCCGCGACTTGAAGACTTCCAACGACCCAAACGCATATGGGTCGTGCAACTTGAGCCCCAGTGCCCAAGTCTTGGCACGTCCTGCCAGATTTGACTGGGCAAATGCAACTTGCATATCCCCGTCGTCGACGCGACGCGCCCTTATGGCGTCATCCAATTCGACAAACCATCTCAAGAGGGAGTCCTCTTCGACTCCCCTATACTTGGAGATGTCAACATTCAAGGTCTCGGGTCGACGCGAGTGCATCGACCCACCAGCAGCAGCCTGCTGCTGTCTCAACAGTTCAAACTGTTGAGCACCCTGTTCTCTCAACAACTCTGCTTGTTGAGAACCTTGTTGGTGAAGCAAGGCTACTTTCTCGCGTTCAGCGTCAAGTTCATTTTGAATGAAATTGGCGATAGTAGCATGTTGGGCATCTCTATTGAGAGCCTCTAGCATGACGCTAACAGCATGGATGCCCATGGTCGAACCCATTCGTTCAACCGCATCCCATTCGACATCGCTCAAATGGGAGTAGCCGTCACGCGTAGCGTGAAAGCTTTGATCATCTTCATCATCCAACATATTCATGTTGGATGTGAACGTGGTCCTTGGACGGACTACGAAGTGCTACCAGGTGTAACGGGGCACCCTGAAGCTTGTACTGGTGACAGTACAAGCTACTTATTCTGATGACAGAATAAGGCGGTGCCTCGTAACTTCACGTACACTCGTACGTGCAGAGGAAGACGGTAAGAAGAAGCGAGTACTTGGTTAAAGTAAAAAGTAGAACTGTATTTAGCATAGTTAATGTCTGCAATAAATCACTATTTATCTTCACCTAACTATGTCTAAATACAAATGTGTAAATCAATTATCTGCTCACCACTCATTGCGTGCGTCTGTCGTGGCGCGTCTTCGTTGGTTGATATGCCTATATCAACCAATTAGGAACTACTCGTAAGTGCTACAGGATATTTGTCCTTATGACAATATTCGGAGAATATAACTCTTATAGTTATATTCTATTAACAATTTCTTATAAATTGTTATGTAACGATTCACCCCGTTACAATATCCCCATTTTGTGTCGTCTGGGATCCTACAATAGAGGTGCAACAAAAAGTCGAAAATAAAGCATGCTAGCACGCTCACCTACGATGTAGCGGAGCTACTCAGCAACTTAAGTCATGGGAAGATTTGCACTCAAATAGCGATTTTAGTTGTAAAGAATTAGACTCAATGTGTAACGGGGTTGCACGAAATTATGGTACTTTGTACCAGAGGTGTTACACACCTGAGGTTACCCCTTTGTGAAGGTGATATAGAATATCTTATTGGTTTGTAGAGGCTGACGAGTGTCAGCCATTAGGTACGAAAGATCTTTGAGTAGGATTAAGATATTCTATAAGCGTTACCAAAAATAAAATCAGTTCCCATTTTGATCTAAAGGACACGTGGCTTGCGAGCCGTCTTGATCGTTGATCACTGATCAGAAAGAGTTAGCAACACCTCCTTGAGGTAGCTACTCTTGAGCACTGGGTGCTGTCGATTCACTGAATCGTTAGGTCCCCATGGAACAGGGATCTGAAGCTGTAAAGCTTGTTGACTCGTAAAGTCATTAGTTCTTTGGAACTAAGTTGCTCGTAGAGCGTTAAGTCTTCCTCTGACTTAAGGAGCTGTGTAGCTCCGCTACACTTGGTAGCACTAGTAGTCAATCTACGCTTGAGTCTTTAAGACTGATCCTCTGTGAGGATGGAAACCTCCACTCCCCTATCTGAGGCCCAAAGGGTCGCGCTTGATAAGCTGACCGCATCTTTGGGTCCAGAGTACGTGGAGTTCCTTGTTTCACAAGGTCCTGAAGTGCTTAATGCACGTGTTGAAAGCTTCATGCAGTATGAAGCGACTCTTTTAGGGCAGGTCCAAGACCAAATAGCGTCGGCTACGCCTACACGCTACGTGTCTGTACCAGACGAAGAGGCTAAGCCTCGTCCACTTAGAGTGGAAGTAAAAGACTACTCCGGTAAGGAGGGTGAGAACCTCATCCTCTGGATCCGTGAGATTGAGATGGCCATGAGATCAGGCCTGATCACGCTTGGCCATCAACAGGTCTCGCTGGCTATCTCGAAGCTCGATGGAAGAGCTAGAGAATGGGCCTTGACGTGTAGCACGTCGGTGGACATAGCGTTTCCCACATGTGAGTCGCTCAAGTCACAATCGGTACAGGTGTTCTCACCACCTAACCAGGCTTACCGCGTGCGGGTCACGCTTTCTATCTACTCGCCAGGGTAAGAATGAATTATCGGACTATTTTCAAGAGCTGCGAACGCTCATGGCTGCAATGCAGTCTGACCCTCTGCCTGAAGCAGTCCATGTGACTATCTTCATGGAAGGTCTACGTACTGGCATTGCCAGAACCGAGGTTTTTCGGGTTCACCCCTCTACGTTTGAAGAGGATGTGAGAATTGCTCTTAATGCTGAGCATAACGTCAAGTCGGCCAGACTTGGTTGAAATGGATTCAATCCTAGCTCTGTGAGAGCAAACTATTCGGGTACCACTGCCTATAATAGGCCGGAACCGATGGATCTCAGCTTTGCTGAAGATGGAGGTGAAGCTGAGCTTCAAGCTGCTGAGCAGCAACACGTCGTACGACGATGTTTTACGTGCGGAAGCACAAAACACTTGCGGCCTGGTTGCCCTTTGCGTAAGCAACGCCAGGCTACGAGCCAACACTCGACCCCGAATCAAAAGTCTGGCATGGCACGGGGAAATGCCGACACCCAGTAGGCGCGGGGCGCCCTACTGGGGAAGAACTATGTTCTGTTACACCTTTAGAAGGTAAAGGAATGCAGGGCTTAGCCCCAAAGAGTACCATACCTACAGGTATGGTGCGTGGATACAAGTCTGGCTTGTTGGTCGCCGAGGCGAAAATTAAGGGCTTTGAGAAGCCTTGGTCGATATTGATCGATTCTGGAGCGTCTTGCAATTATTCTCGACGCTGTTCCCTTGAGGGAAGTCAGCGTTATGCTGAGGCGCTTACAGCGCATGAGGGTGATTCTATCACGGTTCGTTTAGCGACTGGAAGTCGCGTACTGTGCCTAAAGTTCCATTGAACTTAGACATAAAGTTTGTAGACTTTGACAGTATTGAGCGCTGTCTTGTCCTAGATTTGGACTCGAGATATAATCTCATCCTATGTATGGCTTGGCTTGAGCGCCATGAGCCCTGGATTGATTAGAGGTCTAAGACCTTAGGCGCTACGCGCAATGTTCCTAGCGAAGCTTTGGAGAGTCGTGAACCCACCTTCGCTGGGCAACAAAAGCGCTATTGGCGCGAGCCTTTGACAGAAGATGTCAATGTGCTGGATATTGGAATGTCTAAGTTATCTAACTCCAATGTTACAAACTTAAGTTTCGAGCCTAGCTCGTCTGAAACTAGTGAAACGGCACGTACTCCATTAAGTGTTACTCGTTGTGATAACGAGTCACTGCATGCTGAAAGCATGGTTGGCCTAGGGCCTAGTGATCAAGGATGTGATTCCTTTGATGTGTGTATGGTGGCACGTGAAACTACACCGAGTGCGGTCGGCCGTGAGAGCACCGCACTGAATGTCGGTAGCGACATATTTGGAGATACGCCATTTAGTGTGGGCGGCCGTGAAGGCACCACGCTTAACGTCGGTAATGGCGTTGTTGGCGATTCGCCATATAGTGTAGGCGGCCGTGAGGGCACCACACCTAATGTCAATAATGATATTGTTGGCAATACGCCGTAAAGTGTGGATGGCGGTGAGGGCACCACACCTAATGTCGGTAATGACCTCATTGGCGAGGCGCCGTTAAATTTGGGGCTAGGCCCGCATAATACACGTGGAGTGGCACGTTTCAATCCACTGGGTGAAGTGCTCGAGTTGCGTAACACTTCACCGGATGTCGGTCAAGACAAAAGCTCTCGTATAGAGCGTACTATGGTTGGTAGTAACCATGGGGACAAATATTGTCCCGACCTCTAAAGGGTGTAAGGTCTCGAAGAGACGATCGAGACGCCGGGTAGCTACTTTTAAGCGCCAGGCGTCCTCACAGTCACATAGTGATAATAGTAATACACTATATACACTTGTTAATGGAGTGACTGGTCAGGTTGATGGCAGTGTTTGCCTTGATACCCTTCCATCTGTGGACGCTCTTTGTGAGCTAGCCGAAATGTCTGATGGCGAGTTTAGCCAGGCCTTGAAGGCAGGAGAGTTATACGAGTTAGCGGTCATTCGACCTGATGCTGAGTTGAATTCTTTCTCATTAATGGATGAGTCTGTCCTGGAGAATACAAAGGCGGCACTTAGTGCACGAAGTGGATCTTCGATCCTTATAGATCCTTTGGATCCGTTCTATCCTTTAATTAAGGAATTTCAAGATGTGGTGTGTCACAACCCACCTTCTGCCTTACCTCCCGATAGAGGTGTACGTCATGAGATTGACCTAGTTCATGGAACTAAAAACTGTGTAACACGGCAGTGGCCTTTGCCTAAAGAACAGTGTGACGTCATTGACGACTTCTTTCGTGCTAAGCACGCGACTGGAATGGTTCGTGAGAGCAAGTCTCCCCATTCAACACCGATATTTTGTGTCAAAAAGCCAAATGGCAAGTGGCGTATTGTGCATGCTTATAATAAGCTTAATGCAGCCACTATACCGGCGCAGACGCATATTCCTAGGAAGGATGTGCTTCAGAACAATATGGCAGGGTGTATATTGTACAGTGCGCTCGACTTAGTTGATGGTTATTACCAACTGCTTATGCGAGCAAGTGATATTCCGCTAACAGCGGTGAGTACTCCGAGCGGTATGCTCTGGGAGTGGCTTGTTATGCCACAAGGGCTATCTATCGCCCCGGCTACGTTTAACCGGCTGGTAACGCAGCTATTCAGACCTCATCGAGGCTATGCACAAACTTACTTTGATGACATATTTGTCCATATTTGTGCAATGAATGGGCGATCAGATGTGGATAACCACATTGATCATTTACGAGTTTTGCTCGAGTGCATGCGAGCGAATTAGTTGTATGCTAACGCATCGAAGTGCATCTTTGGTGCAGAAGAGATTCCATTTCTAGGGCGCTTCATTGGGAAGCGAGGCCTTCGAGCGGATCCCGCTAAGGTGAAATCCGTAGTTGACTGGCCGGTTCCCAAGAACCAAAAGGACTTGCGTAAGTGGCTTGGCCTTGCCAATTACTTACATAAGTACAGTGCGAATTACGCAGTTATGGCGCGGCCATTGTCCAATCTCCTTAAAAAGGACGTGGATTGGTGTTATGGTAACGCCGAACACAATTCTTTGAAGCAGTTAAGGAGAGTCTCCTTCATGCGCCTATTCTGGTTTTGCCCGATTCTGGTCGGCCTTTCAGTGTCGTCTGTGACGCATCTGACTTTGCCATAGGCAGTGCTCTGTTACAAACAGATGTCGACGGACGCGAACGCGTCATCGCATTCGAGTCTCGGCAGCTGAAAGCTGCTGAAAAGAACTACCCTGTTCATGACAAAGAGCTACTTGCTATGAAGTACGCTCTTGTCAAATTCAGAGTACATCTGCTTGGCGCCAAGCCGTTTGTGATCTATACAGATCATGCGTCATTACGCACTGCGACACAGTCGCCTTATCTCTCACAGAGAATGGATCGTTGGCTTTCCTTCTTTGCCGAATATAACTTCGAGATGAAGTACAAGCCAGGTAAGCAAAACGCTTTGGCTGATGCGCTATCGCGTCGACCTGACTATGAGCTTGCTCATGTTACGACTCTGTCGTCTTCAGTCCCTGACTTAATTCGTGCGGCGTATGTCAAGGATGATCAGTGTGTAGCTTTGCTACGTGCTCTTGGGAGCGATGAGTTTAAATGCTCGGACATAGAATTATCGGCACGTTTACTTGCGAAGCTACATCGATATTCCATCGATTATGGCCTGTTGTGCTATCGCACGGATATTGAGGATAACCCATGTATCGCTGTACCTCATGATGAGGAACTAAAGCATCGAATACTCTATGAGGCACATGATACTGTTTTAAGTGGTCATCTCGGTCGTGAGAAGACTTATAGCTCGGTGAGCCAAAGTTATTGGTGGCCCAAACTTTATAAGTGGGTGCGCACCTATGTGCGTACGTGCGAAACGTGTCAACGGGTTAAACCCTGCAGCGGCGCCGCTGGCTAGCTTGCCAGTACCCACTGGTTGTTGGGAGTCCGTGAACACGGGTTTTGTGTTTGGCCTACTGAAGGATTCGGAAGGCAACACTGGTATTGTGGTCTTTGCTGACCGATTGAGCAAGATGGCTCACTTAGCGGCTGTGCCGGATAGCATCGATGCTGAAGGTACAGAAAAGCTGTTTATCGACCGTGTGTTTCGCCAACATGGCTTGCCGGTGGCAATTATCTCTGATAGAGACCCCCGCTTCACTGGGAAATTTTGGAAGTCTATCTTCAAGGTGCTTGGCACTCGGTTGGACATGTCCACAGCGGATCATCCGCAGACCGACGGTCAAACTGATCGTGTTAACCGCGTCATCAATGACATTTTGCGCAGTGTTTGTGCTGATACGCCTAGGCGTTCGAGCTCAATGCTCCCTGTTGTTGAGTTTGCATTGTATAACGCTGTGCATGCCTCAACAGGCTTTACTCCGTTCTATATAAACGGTCTCACTCGCTCTCGCGTTCCGTTAACGCTGTCACAACGTGGTTCAGGGCTTGGTGGGGGAGAGGTTGCCGATCGGCTTGCTGATATCAGCCCTGCTACTGTTCAAAAACAGGTAGGCGGATTCTCGCAAAGCGATTAAACGTCTTAAGACATGTGCGTGACGCAATGTCTGATAGCCAAGATACCCAAAAACAACAAGCTGATGCCAAAGGCAGAAATTGTATTGAACGTTATGAGGTCGGAGACCAAGCACTACTTAATGCTAAAAATCTACCTACAAATGTAGTGTCTGCTGTCTTTAAGACAAAGTTGCGTCCACGCTTTGTTGGACCGTTTACGGTCACGGCCAAGAAGGGACTTCCGTATACGCTAAACCTCCCGCGCAAATTACGCACACATCCAGTGTTCTACGTAGGCTTACTTAAGCCGTACCGGGATCCTTCCTATGTGAACTTGGAGGCGCTTGCGCTGACGACAAGGGCACTGCCCCGAACCATCGCATCCAGCATGCACTGGGACTTACCCAAGGCCTCTTGAAGACCCTTCACTTCGAGAACCTATTTCTCGTGAGCCTCCACCGGTACACCGGCCGCCACAGACTTTGCTCGATGAGCATGGGTGTCGTCAATTTCATGTCGAGAGACTACTGAAACGACATCGTCGTCAGGGCCAATACCAGTATCTCGTAAAGTGACGTGGGTACCCTGATTCTGAAAACTCATGGGAATTTGAGGTCCCCCTTCGGCAAGACTGCCCATATGCTTTGGAGGCTTTTGAGCATCGTGGCCATAATCATCTCGAGACCGAGGCCGTTGCCCACCACTAGTGGTGCGGGTTGGCGGGTTGTTGGCCACAGACTGACCAGCACTCGCGGCTACCTTAGTAGCCGAAGCATAGCGCGTGCGCTTGCGCAATTGGCCTCTGGCCTTAAGCTTGGCATAATCATACCGAAGCTTGCGTTCGATACGCACATCAGCCGCATGGGCACTAGCCCTTAGAGCAAAACATTTGCTGAGGCGACGCACATAGTGCACCCAGTGAACGAAGGCATCGTCTTCTTCGCTCACTATTTCGCCTGCGAGCAAGAGAATGGGTACACCCTTGATCGGTGGGACCGGTGTACCACGCGCTTGCATGTCAAGGCGTGCCTTGTATTGACTTTGAGTCGTTAGGTGCGGCTCCAGGTACCTCTCACGAAGTGCCTGGCAGCTGACCACCTCCTCAGGAGTCTTAGGCCCATGGCCAATGACCCACGTTGCCAATGTTTGGCCGGCCCCTTGACGTAGACGTTCCTCCACACTGGGTGGGGTGAGCACATAGTCACGCTGGCGTTCAAGGGTTGCAGCCATTTGTACATAACGCTGAGCGTTTTCGTTTCTTTGGACAAGCAATTGTTGTTGCTCATCGAGCGGGTTCGAAATGGTAGTCTCATCAGACCCAGATGCTGCATGCTGCGCTGGTGGCGCGCTCGCATCTCCACGTTCAGCGAACGGATTTGGGGTGTTCGAAGGTTGTGCCACAGGCATCAGTGAGCGGGACATTGTCCCTGTATCACCGCGGACACTGGTATCGCTACCATAGTCCACCTCCTCCTCTATTCCGAGGTAGTCACACAGAGCCTTTGACTCGTTTGGTGGTGAGGACATCGTGCTAGAGCGTACGTTACCGTGAGGTTCACCGCACGCGCACTGTTCTCGCTGAGAACACAAGTTCGATTAACTTTTTGGCAAGCGTCAGTCTGGTGGGGGAGGGTGTAACGGGGTTGCACGAAATTATGGTACTTTGTACCAGAGGTGTTACACACCTGAGGTTACCCCTTTGTGAAGGTGATATAGAATATCTTATTGGTTTGTAGAGGCTGACGAGTGTCAGCCATTAGGTACGAAAGATCTTTGAGTAGGATTAAGATATTCTATAAGCGTTACCAAAAATAAAATCAGTTCCCATTTTGATCTAAAGGACACGTGGCTTGCGAGCCGTCTTGATCGTTGATCACTGATCAGAAAGAGTTAGCAACACCTCCTTGAGGTAGCTACTCTTGAGCACTGGGTGCTGTCGATTCACTGAATCATTAGGTCCCCTGGAACAGGGATCTGAAGCTGTAAAGCTTGTTGACTCGTAAAGTCATCAGTTCTTTGGAACTAAGTTGCTCGTAGAGCGTTAAGTCTTCCTCTGACTTAAGGAGCTGTGTAGCTCCGCTACACTAAGAGTCAACTAGCTTAAAGCTTAGGGATCCTTTTCCAGGGGACCGAACGATTCAGTGAATTTGTAGCGCTCAGTGCTCAAGAGTAGATGCCTCACGGAGGTGTTGCTAACTCTAACGATCAACGATCAGATACGCCTAGCAAGGCACGTGTCTTAGACAAGATCAAAGGGGAACTGAACTTTATTTACGTTTAACTCTACAGAATATCTTTATCGTTATATTGCCTAATCTAGGCCCTCACGTCCTAAATTAATATCCATACGATCATTCCTATGTTGTGGCTGACACCCGTCAGCCTCTATAAACCGATAAGATATTCTATATCTCTCTGTGGGATACCATCCCGTGTGTCTAAGACACAGGGTACCGAGTACCCTACGATGTGTAACCCTTTACACCCTCCCCACCAGACTGACGTTCACCCAAATGTCGTTTGAACTTTGTTTTTTTAACAAGGTCAGTGCGCTTGCGGTTAACACTACTGTGACGCAAAGCTTTAGTACTATGTCCTCATCTTCGAACGAGTCAAAAACTTTTTGCGCACCTCGAGATGGAGAAGGCAGCGGACTGTAGTAGTGACACGAGTGTCCCGGGTGATGCGAGGTCAATGTACGATACACTTATGCTTGAGGTAGAACCTCCTACCACGTAAAGTCCGTTCGTTGAACGTGGTAATGCGAATGCGCCATTGGCGCCACATTCCATACCCGGTCGGATGATGCAAACTTGCCAACACGCTCGATGATAAGTAAGAGTTGACTGTTCAGTGTGAAGAAAGCGCTCGGCGCCATGAAAAAACGGTCAAGGCCCTTGTGTACAAGCGCGACTATGTGTTCACTCCACTGTGGGGGGACGTCTACATTAAATGACTGGCTAAACTTTGGCAACGTGGGCCATTGGTATCATAGCTACGTCTCCCAAGGAAGGGCGAAGTGGCCAGACAATTGTGAGAGGTACTTAAATCCGAATCTGACAACGCAAAGTCAGTAACAGGAAAGCCTTTTGATGCAAGCACGCGTTGCACCTGTGGTGAAGTGGTCAAAGAAAATCCTGACCAATCGCCTTGATCACCTCGTAAGTGCATGTGGGACCGGTCATGCCGGCCTTGGGACTGACCGCTACAGAAATCCCCAACGATAAGCTGGACGGTTTGCAAGTCATCAGTGGTGGTCACAGATTATGACCACCGGTTAGGGTCACGACGAATAACTGACCGGTCATGGTCACGCGACCAGTGGTCATAGTCACGATGGGTAACCAGTGGTCATGGTCATGAAAAGTGACCAGTGGTCATGGTCACGCATGGGTGACCAGTGGAAATGGTCACTGCAAGATTCCCAGCGGTCGTGCTGGCAGTTAAGGTGGTTCACTTCAAGCACAGGGAACGGGTGGTGGCTGGCGAACAACGTATCGAAAACGGAGACAAAGAGAAGTGTAAACATACTTCTAGGACCTGATAGGTCAATAAACGAACAGTATTGATTTTCATACAAAAGACCCGCGTCAGCATTCCTCCGAGCTGGAATACTAGTGGCCACCCGACGTACAAGGTTTACTGTCTACGTGTTTGCTCAAGGTTTGTTTCTAGATTTCTTGGCTAGGGACAAGTATAATCATTCAAGTTAGCCCGCGATCGGACGCGGCGAGCATACAAGGCAAGGTCTTCAGACGGCTCAAGCGATCAGAAGGTTAAGGTGATCGAGTGGTCAGAAGAACAGGGGTGATCAAGTATCCACATTTGGGAAAGGCGACCTTAGGGAAGGTCAGGCAACTCTAGGAGAGTGCCACCAGTAACCGTTAGTCGTGTGGAGAATTACCACGCGGCCACACCCCACCTATCATCAACTCGGTCAAGACACGACATCAACCTCAAGACACCTAGAAGAAGCAACCGCAGCCGGCGGGTACACAAGGTGAGAAGGAACAAGACAAGAAAGACGGTCCGGGGTACCCCCTCCATTAGTCGGTCGTCCGAGCGCAAGTGGGAAGTCAGTATCGCTACGTAAATGAGCGAAACCCACTCCACCACACACCGGTTCCACCATTTAAGAATATACACAGTCTATTTTTTGCAGGCGAAACAACGGACGATAGAACAGCAACTTCATTCGCTGGATGGACCGCACTCTTTGCCTCGGCAGTATACACACTCTAAGAACTCTAGTGCCAAAGTGCTCGATGTGCGTCTCTAACCAAGCTCTAGTATGATCATGCCTGGTTTAATGTTGGAGGCGAAATGCGCAATTGCACGCGCTATGCTTCGGCTAATGCGGTAGCCGCGAGTGCTGGTCAGACTGTCACCACCTGCCCGCCAACCCTCTCCACTAGTGGGGGAAAACAACCTTTGCGTAGAGATGACCCTGGCCACGATTTCTGACAACATCCAAGGCGTACAAGCAATTTTGCCGAAGGGGTATCTCTTACTCCCATGATTTTTCCGACTCAGTGTACCCTCGCCACTTTACCCGAAACTGGTATTGGCCATGACAAAGACGTCTTTTTTTAGTCTCTCGACAGGAAAGTGGCGATTTCCATGCTCTTTGAGCAGCGTCAGGGATTCCCGTTGTACCGGTAGCGGACCGCGAGAAATCAATAATTCAAGTAAGGGGCCTCCGTAAGACCTTGGTAAAGATGCAGTGCATTTTGAATGTGATGCAAAGCCGCATTCTGGCGATAGAGCAGGCTCAAACTTTGGAGCAAGGCTCAGTTATGCTTACTCGTTCGCTTACAGCATCCCATGGAACAGACCTCTTCGTCAGCGCAAGCGCCTTTAACTTCACATTGAAAGAATTCCGGTATGGAGTAAGTTCTACGGGGAACACTGGGTATGTGCTTAATCTGCGCGGAAGGTTGAGCTTAGACGCAATTCCCTTCTTAGTAGTGGCCATAAATGGTCCAATGGAGAGTGGACGCAACTTTTTGATCAAAGACAG